TTGACGATGCGCTCGTCCAAGACCGGTTCACTTCTAATGTTCAAAATGTCAATCATCTTTCTCAATCGTTTCGTACGATGAATCACAGAGATTTCAAAAATTCAACGTTCAACGCGCTGAGTTTCTTTCGAACGAGAGATTTTGTACGTTAATCTCATAAAAAGTATATTTCCAGCTTGTTTCACCTGTTGACCACTTGATTTACCACAAGCATTTCATAGATTACGTTTATTATCGTAGCCGTCGTACGTGCAATCTAATGGTAATCTCTTCTCCTCGAAAATCGAGCGATTGTCCTTCTTGATCAACTACATGCACCGTTAAATCTGTAATGCTCCGTGCGATGATTGGAAGGTAAATGACATGTGTCGGTGTTTCCGATATCTTATATCCTAGTGGCACTTTAAGCGAGAATTCATGTGTATGTATACGCATACTGTTACTGTACTCACCACTGACAACGCTACATTCTATACGAATGATATTCACGTTGATAATCTCAATCGGTGCGTCCGATTCGTACCATCGGTGCGGTTCTAATATACGACTCGATGAGAATCCCAAAAGCGAGCCAATGTTGTTTGGTTTGTTAAAATTTATTCAAATAATTACATTTTATTTCACTCTTCATCGTATTATTATTGGCACGAATTATTATAGGATATTCATTTTCGTCATCTCTATATGGATAATTTTTGGAACGCACTGCTTCTGGAGAATGTGAAATTGTACGTTTCAGATATTCGTATATGGCGCGCAATTCATACGATCCTTTAGGAATCGTAATTTCTTCATCGTTAGCACCATAGTAAAATTTATTATTCGACGAATTTACGTTTGGTATCGTATTGTATGCTTCGAAATCCGTTAAACCGAGCTCGTAATCACCATCGCTCAAATCTATAGCGGGAAAGTAGTAGCTCACCGTAAGGGTGCTACTGTTGCCAGTCAACGTAAGCGTTAGCGACGTGTTTGTAAACTGCCGAACGAATACTGACTGCTGTTAATGGAATGTCATCATCATCATTTAAATTGATCCTCTACCGTTTGGAGAAACTATAAGCACAATTGTCCGCAAATGCTCTGGTTGTAATGTTGATATGATGTGCGATTGTACACAATTTTCACTACATCTCTCTCAAGGTATCGAATCAATTCCTTGGGTGGTCGAAGATTACCAAAATTGTCAAAATATACTGCGCGATTTCCTCTTTTCGCATACGCCACCCAGTGCGTACCTAGTCCCTCTGTGTCATCTAAATTTACAATACCGCTCTCGTTTTGACGTACTCCATCTATCGGTAACGCGTCACGCATGAAAACACCTCGAAAGAAAGATATATGAACACGCCTCGCTAGTCTTTCCAACTATACATTAGTTATTGCACTCGTAGGTAATTTTAACGTCTCTTTGACGTTTTTTTTCTGCAGCGCTTTTCCCGCGCTTGTACCGAGCAAGATAAATTCCGCGACCTTTCATAGCGCAACCTTCCATTGCGCAATGATGACGTTTTAATTCTTCCAGCTGGCGTTGCGCGGCTTTGCCATCATTCACCGCTTTTGCGACACCCGCCGCTCCACCGACTAGTAAACCGACAACTCCCAGTAATGGTAGAACTGGTAAAATACCACCCCGTTTTGCTACTGGAAGTGCTCGTTTTCGGATTTCTTTCTTGGACGACTTCTTTTTCTTCATGCCCATGCCCATGCCGATTTTCGTTTTGGCTTTCATAGCAGCCCAAACGACTGCTGCAGCATCTTTCTCGCCTAGAGTTGATTCTTTCGAAGTTATGCGTTTCCGCAGCGAGAATTTCATCCGCCGCGTGCCGATCGGTGAGATTGTTGCTACGCGAATAGGCTATATCGTGCTCACGACACGCTGCATCAAATGAATTAATGCCTTGGTCACCTCTGGCCAATCGTTTTACCAAGCGAGTTCCAGGACCACAAAATTGATATCTGGGAATGTGTAGTTCGATAGGAAGCGCATTTATCGCGCGATTTTGACTGCCGACTTTGACTTTTGTCGACGACATTCACTACAGTCCCTGATCAGCGGTGCTGGACCGTCGATATGCGTTTGCTGCCACGGACGATTGTAATGTTCCAAACATCGACGATACTGCTGAACCTCTAGATTGACTCTTAAATGTTCCGGGAGTCTATCCTGCAAATTGTCAATATACGTTGCAAATTCGCGTAACAGAACAATCTTCGGTATATATTTCAGTTATTCGGAGGTTAGCTCTCGAATATCATGAGTATCTGTCAACAGGAGCAACATTTTCTAAACTGCATGTTTCCAAGATCGACGCGCTTATATATATATAGTTAAATGAGCATCACATTTAAATTAAATAGCAACGATCCGTTAACGAAATCAATTTTGCGACTCACGGGGAAACATGTGGTTCGTGAAGGAACCGACGTCGATATGCGTGACAAATTTCGACAATAGAACGGAATCAATGCTTGAGCAAGAGGCGCGCAGGCATGGAAACATATTTCCGAACACCATATGCGGCATCATATGCAATCTCTCGAATTGCGGCAAGACGAACGTTCTCATCAGCTTGTTGGAAAGTCCGCACGGTCTACGTTTCGAGAACATGTACGTGTACTCGAAATCGTTGCAACAACCTAAATATCGCTACTTGGAAAATCTGCTGAAATCGATAGATGAAATTGGATACTTTACATTCCCCAATAACAGCGATGTGATTCCAACGACCGAAGCGCCTAAAAATTCCATTTTTATCTTTGATGACGTTGCATGTGACAAACAAGATACGATAAGAGAATACTTTGCAATGGGTCGTCATTCGAACGTTGACTGTTTCTATCTCTGTCAGACGTCCGCAAAAATACCCAAGCATCTTATACGGGACAATGCAAAGTTTCTGATTCTCTTTAAACAGCATGGTACCAACTTGAAACATGTATACAACGATCATGTGAACACTGACATGTCATATGAGGATTTCAGTGCATTGTGTTGCAAATGTTGGGAGGATAAATATGGTTTCACAGTGATTGATAAGGACAGCTCAATGACCGACGGACGATACAGGAGAGGATTTAACGACTTTGCTGTGCTGTGAGATGCACAATCGTCATTGTAACCTCAACGTGGTACCATCTTCAACATCCACAAGACAAACATATCAATGATGAATAGTAGCGTGAAGATCATGGATCGTGAAAAGGTAGAAATTGCGAAAGGAAGAGAAAGGAAGAGATTGCGAAAACGAGCGCATCGATCCGCAAGAAATATCGCGCTTTGAAAACCGGTTGAATGGTGGAAAATGCTGCATTGGAGAGACACTTTAAACCTATTATTGAACCTCTCAAGCAAATCGCGGAAAGCAGCGCTAATGTAGAAAGTAACGTAGATGTTAAAACTGAACCACTATCAATGAGTACAAGTGAAGAAACAAAGAGTGTAATATTAAAACCCGAAAAGAAGATAAAGCGTAAGGCAAAACTTTCATCAGTCGCATTGACTACACCGAAACGGAAACTATTAAACGATCTTCTGATAGTTCCTACATCGACGGGAGCTCTACAATATGAAGAACTACATGGAATGTCACATGAACCTTCACCGATCGACAATCTACTCACTGATGATGATGATGATGAGAATGTTTCCGAAACCCCCGATGAACCGGTAGTGACATCCGTTAGGCGTCAGTTGCGAACGTACAAAGGACAACAAATTTTACATGATCATTTTGGTCCGTTGGGTCAAAAATATAGGGAGCTGTGCTAAACAGAAGTGGAAAAGATAACACCATAGATTATGTTTACGGTGTATGTCTTAGTAACAATGGAGCGATGCTCGGTGATAAACGTATCGATGTGGACAGAGACGATAATATAATCATAGGCGAAACAGGATATATTGGAACACCCGGTCTTTACTAATATTCAAATGAATCCTCAACGATTCTGTGTACACCGAAGCTGATATGTAAAAATACATAAATATACTATTGGCGACAAATACTCACAGACGTGGGTACCTCCCGCAAAATCCTATACTCGGTAACAAGGGGCACAAATATAAACATATAATCGCGCCCCTAGTATCAGATACGTCGAGCAATAATGTGGGAGGAAAAGGTTTATACGCATCGCAAACTATGATGACCTTAAATGACAGCAATATAGATTACGTGCATTGGGATGATCCAAACGAGCTGGTGGATCGTCTGCGATTGCTTGACGCTTCGCACCAAGCTGGCAATAACTCGCACGAGCACGAAATTTTATCGATTATCGAAGTACTCCACGAAGCTGGTCTCATTATAAATTAAGCAGCGTGGCATTGAAACGAGTCTGTCAGTTGGTACAACCTGCTCCGAAATGTCGATGAATAAGTTTGGAGAGCAATGGTGCGAATACTGATCGAGCGCATTAATGGAATGAACACGTTGAAAATTACATACATGAAAATGTTCTTTATTTAAACCCTGCCAAAGTTTTTGACACAAAGTCGCGCAAGATAAAACATATAGCGCAATCTGAAGCCGACAATGATGTTGCAACTAAACGATACGTGGAAGAATGTGTTGCAGGTGTGAGATATCATTTAAACAACGTTGCAATCAAACGATACGTACATAAAAATGCCCTTTGTCTAGCTGCTAATAGTAAAGGCTTTGATGGCAAATGTTTCGATGCAAAAATGTATGCGATACATAATGTACCGCAGTCGGAAGCCTTCAATGACGCTGCGCATAAATATTATGTGGATGAGAGTACAAAGTCTATAAAACTTCTGTTGCATGAGAGTAACGTTGAGAAGAAGCAGTATATTGATGAGAATATAAATGCTGTAAAGCTTCCACTGCATGAAAGTAACGTTGAGACGAAGCAATATGTAGATGAGAATGTTAAAAAATTGAAGGATTGGCTGGAAGACTACCGGAAGAAAAACATACAGAGCATAAATAGCATTCATGAGAACATAGAACGAATTTTAGACTGGACAGGTTCAGAGATAAAGAAATCGCGGAAAATATAAAAGTAAAATATTACAGTTAAATTGACGTATAGTATCGACATAAGCAGGAGACGGATCATCACGAGCTGCAACGGAGAAGCAATTGTCAAAATTTAACAAAAAGAAGAAAAGCAATTCATCGAAACTATTTTAGCTGTTTCTGCCGGTGCAGAGCGACAAAGCCTCACGCATGATGGGAAAATGACTCGGCGAGTAACGAGGAAAAATGATGAGAAGAAACATTCCGACAAACAACAACTAGTGAAAGAATTACACGCCCCAGCGAGACGAAATTTTCCTCGTAGACGCGTCATTGTACGTGGATACGATGATCTTTGGCAGGCCGATGTGGTGGAAATGCGTCCTTACTCACGATTCAATTGAGGCCACCACTACATACTCACCATTATCGATGTACTGAGCAAGCATGCATGGGCCGTGCCGTTAAAGAGCAAAAGCGGAAAGGAGGTAGCTAAGGCATTCGCAAAGATAATTCGAACGGATGGAAGATGTCCGAAGAACTTGCAAACTGATCAGGGAAAGGAGTTTTACAATACAAAGTTGCAGAGTCTTGTGAAGAAACACGGTGTCATTATTCGACTTATTCAGTAATAAAGGCATCTGTTGTGGAACGATTCAACCGCACGTTAAAGAACGACATGTGGAAAATGTTTACGTTCAACGGAACTTACAAATGGATCGATTCGTTACCGCGCCTCGTCGCTGAATACAACACGCGAAAACATTGAACTATCGGCATGCGTCCTATCGATGTGACACCTGCGATTGCTAATAAGCTCTTAAACACAGTCTACAGCAACATAAAGATTGCAGCACCTGCGAAATTCAAAGTGGGTGATCCGGTACGTGTCAGCAAACATTCAAAACTTTGAAAAAGCTATACATCGAATTGGACAACCGAAGTGTTTAAAATCGTCAAAGTGTAGACAACTAATCCTGCAACTTACCTACTCGCAGACTCGCGCGGGAAACCTGTCGCTGGGGGTTTCTACGAACACGAACTACATAGTATCACCAATCCAGATGTATACTTAGTAGAAAAGGTGTTACGCAAGCAAGGTGGCAAGGTATATGTAAAAAGGCTGGGATTCGACAATTCGCATAATTCATGGATACAAAAAGATAATGTATTGTAAAAAAAAATGAATACAGTTTTATTAGAACATTTGATGACATACTTAATTGTAAAATAGCCAATAAAACAAATAAACGTTATAATGGTATACTATAATGTTCCTATGGTAATGTATTTATCGAGTCACAATATATCGCTTATCATCGTATGGACTGAGAGCAGTTTTCGTTTCGAATATTGTGTATACCTCATGCAACTTGGATCTTATGTACGATTGACGCTGACTCGTTTCAATTTCCTCTCTCAAACAATACGTGTAATCGTTAAAATTGATTGTTCGCGCTATAATATTCCTCTTAACACCCTTCGCCCTTTTATTATCCTTTTTACCTTCTACTTTCAGCACATACATTTTTGCTCTGAGCTCGACGAATTCTGTCATTATAGCTCCGTTATTTTCATCTTTCATAAGCCCTGGAATTTTTTTGTTCTTAAGCGGCATACTGTATATGTTATTTTGAGAATAATCGCTCGTATCAAACCTAGCAATGTCACGTTTCATAAGCTCATACACATCGTCGGACATTATATGGTAAATTAAACTATCTATGTCCGTATACAGTACTTTACATTTCTCGCGATACAGAGGTGACATGTACTCATGGTGAAATTCATACAAGCAGGTCTTAGATATGTCGAGAATACACATACCTGCATAGATCGACTTGTTGAACTTCACTTCGAGTTTTCGCAATTCAACGGCAATTAAATTTTCTGAAAAGATGCTCTGGCTATGAAAATTTGACATTGCGACCATTGCTTCTGCACTGTATCATCCATCCCATTTTGTCAAAAGTTTTATCGACGTGATTGCGAACATTTTCCATTGTTTTGCCGAATACCGCGTTGTTCATCAATGTGTATAAATTTTTCTCAAAATCGTTTGTTGCATACGTTCGAAACTGCGTATTTAATTCTATGTAGTTGCGTAGCCATGGAGATTGCGTGAATTGGAGTATGCGATGAATCTTTCCGATACGAAGACCATGGCGTGTGCATTGCTGCAGGTTGCAATATTGAATAACATAACGCTGCTTATTATATAAAGTCGCAAGGAGTTTTTCTTGGCTTTTGTTCTGGGGCTTCGTTCGCGTCGGACAGAATGGTAGATCTACGTGTGCATCATGTAGGTGTTGGGGATACTCCAAATCAACCTTGAAAATATAACCTGTGAGCGAATCTAGTGGGATTGATGATACATCAAAATTCGACGTATCATCAACCCACTTAAATTCAGCGTATGGTAACGGTTGACACATTGCCCAACCATACAAATTATTTATATCAAAGTACATGAGGTATGAGGATGGCTTCGATGGGTCGTAAGACTGCATGTATTGGTTATTGGCTTTTGCATATCTACCGGAACACTGACTCAGACCACCACGTATACCACCGCGTTCGATAAACATTACCATATCAATATCTGTGAACAATTCAAAATTAATTTTTGTATGTTTTAACATCGTGTCCCACGTGAAATCTGGCAGTGTATAATAATGCGCGGGATCTAGACCGTAACTTTTGATACAACTATCGCGGAAATTTTCGAAAATATCAGCCAATAACAAAACATCAGTCTTCAGGTACAAATCGCTATATTCATCTAAGGTTTGAATAGAAAACTGCTCCCATATATTTACGGCGTGCGTGTAATCGCGCTTAGATACTATATCATCTGTCAACGAACTGTAGAATAACTCGCGCGGTGGCAAACATTGATCCTGCAGCTTGTCATTACAATCCACATATTCGTACGGAAAGACACCTTTTCGCGTTAATAAATCAAAATCTTTGCTGGATAAGTTTTTTAATTCGGATTGAAGAATTTTTAATTTGTCTCCAGTGAGAAACGATGCTAATTTATCGAGACTGGTACTGAGAAATTTGTACGAATCAATGAATCGCAATTTAATATGATTTCGCCAGTCTGATGTTTTACTTGTTGTATCTTTAATATGTTTGGTAAATGAAATATATTTTTCTTTCGTTATTGGTAGTACATCGACGTGACCTTCGAATGCGGTGGCTACTTCCTTGATAATAAAATGAGCGTCGTAATCTGATAAGTTATGAAAGACTATCGGAATATAATAGGAATCTGTATAATTTAAATTACAATTGGAATGTGCAGGACCCTGGAATGTATATCCCCCACCGCGAATATTTTTCACATATACGACAGTGCGTTGCTATAAAATGCTGCACACTGTTCTTGTGATAAAATTTCATAGGGTACATTATACAAAAACTTTTATACGATGGCCAATTGTTTAAGTTCCTCGACGAACCACGAAATGCAATTCGGATCGCGACGACACTGATATGCGGATAATGATTCATCGTAGGAACATCGTACATAATAAGCTACACTATGTACTTTATGATGCGATACACATACGATTTTTTTTTCTTCGTT